TTTACAGCAGGTAAATCAAAGTTCTTAATAACGTTTGCTTGTGCTTGCTTTGATTACAAAACAACCAACTGAGTTTTTATTTTTTATTTTTCCTGTAAGAAGAAGAAGCTGTTCTTCCATAAGGCGGACCGGTTCTGAACGAAGCTCGGCCCAGGTGCATTGCAGGAGGACGTGGAAAAGAGAGAGATGTTGGATGAACTATTTATTTAAAATTCCCCTCATTTCTTTTATTCAATCCATTCAATATTTTAAGCTGCATTAATCAAAGGAGTAACAGCCTGAATGAGCCAGATGGATAACGTGGGACCAGCATTATCCAGCATGAAAACAGGAGTCCAGTTCATTAATGTAGTTTACAGTTAACGTGTTTTTTATGTGTTCAGTTAAATTATCAATGTTTGTGACATACAGTTTGTGGTGTTGAATAAATAAATAAAAGTTAAACCTGATGTCTTAATTTTCAACTTTAGTAACACGCAACATGTTAAGCATCATTTTAATCACATAATTTGAATTACATAATGCCCAGATAGCTTCATTTTGCTCAGAGAGCTTCATTATACATCTCAAACTTAAGATAAATACTGTTTATTATTATTAAACTATTATTTAGTACATGTAGTATGTAGTGTGTCAAGGACAGCTTTAATGTACCTTCACTACTAATTATTTAAATATAACGGGTTCTTTCTTTTTCAAGTTAAATTAATGCCATGTGACCGAGGTAACTGAGTATTGTTTAATCAGTGACAAGAGACGTTAATTTTTTTTTGACCCATCAGAATAAATGCGGTCATTTATTTAACAGAATCAAAATTTAACATCAAAACATGCACACTTGATTTGCTGATCTGGTTCTGATTAATAAAAACTTGGCACTCTTTACTAACTAGACAACAGAAAATTTCTGAAGGCATCTAGATTGATTTACTGGCGGAAAGATTTACAAGAAGAGAGATTTAGAGGTTTAAAAAAGAGATGGATGGAGGAAGATGTATGTTGTTGACCAGAATTAGCACGCTTCTTTCAACACCAGCTCAAACCTCCGGTACACTTAGTGCGCAACACTCGTGACGTCTCTTTACCTTGGCAGATGAGGATCAGCTCTGGTATAGATGTCCCGATGCACGCTACCTTTCCAGCGTCTCTGGTTAAAGCGGCTGGTCATTGTCAGAAGTCTTGTCGATTTACTCCGTTCAACAAACAGGCTTCCTTCGAAGTTGTAGGCGTTACGCCCGGGGAGTTCACAACGAGGCGCGTTGTGAGTGTGCGTGTGTATATACCTGTGTGTGTATGTGTGTGTGTGCGTGTGTATATACCTGTGTGTGTATGTGTGTGTGTATATACCTGTGTGTGTATGCCTGTGTGAGTGTGTGTGTATGCCTGTGTGAGTGTGTGTGTATGCCTGTGTGAGTGTGTGTGTATGCCTGTGTGAGTGTGTGTGTATGCCTG